GGGGGGGGGGGGGGGGGGGGGGGGGGGGGGGGGGGGGGGGGGGGGGGGGGGGGGGGGGGGGGGGGGGGGGGGGGAGTGAGGTACCCACATCTCGACCTCTTACTGTGTCGCCCTCCACCTATACCAACGTACCACTCTGTTTGGAAATGCAAGGGCCATTGTAGTCTATCCGAATAGCCCTTACATTTTCGAACGGATGGTACAACAAATAGCTGCTTCGTTTTCGACCAGCGGCGACCCTAACCATACCCCAAGCCGTTTGTCTCACCGCGGCGGCACAGTTCTTCCACCCCGTGCTCTTACTTCTGCCTGCCCCACGACCGCGCGAAACCAGCCAGCCGTTCCCCTTGCTCACATTCTTACCTCCGCCCCACCACCACGCGAAATATTCAGCCGACGGCCGCGACCAACCTCCCCGGTTTGGACGGCTCGTCGGACAGCGATGAGGACGTCGCCGCGGACGGCTCAGCCGCCGCCGCCGAGGTGCAGGCAATAGTAGCAGCCGCGGCAGCGGTCGTCGAGTCCGAGCCAGAGAGCTCGGAGGCGGCGCGGGCGGCGGCGGCCGCGCTCGAGGCCGCCGTTGCGTCCGGAGACGTGGTGTACCCCAAGAACGACCCCACGCACGACGCCGACAAGGACGGAGAGGGCGACCTGGACGGGGGCATCGTGGACGGGGAGGACGGGGAGGGGGAGGAGCTGGCGGCGTCGGTTAGCGCGAAAGAAAGCTCTTGAGTGTTCAAGTTGCTTGAAGCAATAGCAGTAGTTCGAGTTTTTTTGTTGAAGTCTGTGTCCATCTGTCTGTCCTGGGTTCGTTAAGGGTGTGTCATTGTTTTGTTTTTCTTGTGTTGTATTTTTCCGTTTGATGCGACTGAACAGGTGTGGTATTGTTTCGAATGGTGCCCCTCTTGTCTCGACGGAATCGTTGGGTTGGAGAGAGACAGGCTAGACAGCGACAGAGCACGAGCAACAGAAATGATTGTGATTATTCCCAAGTCCAATACGGTTTTCCTCACGAAAGGGAGACAACGCTTCTGCGTGATCGCTCTGCGTGCTGGAGATATGTCGGCCCATGTTTTGTCTACATTTTACTCGACCGACTGACCGACCGAGTCGGAGACGCAGTTGTTAGTTTTGAGTGTCTACAAAGGGTGGGAATGGGAGGGGGGTGGACGGCGAGGAAGTGGATGGTAGATATGCATACCACACTCGTCAGTTTTTCTTTCGAGTTTCTTGAACATGCGTGGCTCAACTAGGCTGCCTGTGTACACGTTTTACCCGATGATTGGCATTGTTGGGTATGTATCCAGGAAGCACTGACTGCTGTGATACCCACATCTTCGCCCCGTTGACAGCAGAGTTGTTTGCTGCCAATTTTTTCAAGCTACTGCTGTAGCATGCAGTTGTGGCACGCCGACTTGCAGCGTATCGAGGTTTGGCCATGGAAAACATGAAGCGAGACACCCACACGCAGGTGTGATTAATTAACGTGCTTTAGCGTCGTTTGACCGTGTCTCGTTCCGGGAGGGCGCACGCGGATGGGTGGGGTACAGTACGTACATTTATTGCGGGTGATGGGTAGACTGTAACTGCCATGTTTATCGCTCGACAGCTCGAACTGAGCATGGAATGGCCATGATTTTCCCACGTGCGCGCCATGACAGCAGTGTTACTACCCATATCGGTGTGTGAATAAGTAGTCTGATCGTAGATAGGTCGAAGAGGACACCGGCTGCGGAGGAGTAGGAGTGAGTACCGTGAGCGAATGAATGCAGTGTGGCGCCTACAGCGTGGGCCTACCTAGCTCGACCTCAATGACAGTGGTTTGGTGTAGCGTGCACCGTTTTCTATGGAGGGAAATCGTCGGTTGATGTAATATATCCATGCAAGCGCGCTGGAGATCGACCACCTAGCTAGCCAGTCATTCCCTGAGTGCGCAGTGCGCAATGATACGCTTTTGCATATGCATTGTTGTTGTTGTTGTTGATGTTTTCACATTAAAAACCGTTCCGATCTCCCTCTACCCAGTACCTTCGTATGTCCGTACTGATCCAACAACTCTCCACGCGGTCGATTCCCGTGATCACGGTTAACTTACCCTAGAGGTACACTCAAATAAAGCCCCGAGGGGTCCGCAAGTCAAACGAAATCCAAGACAGGTATTCTGGAGTCCTCCACTCTGCGCGATATGCGAGGTAACAACTCAGACTAGGAGTCACCATCGCAGGCCGGAGAGAAGAGGTACACCCCCTTGGTTCAATCTTGGTACTTCACAACGCAACCAGAGACAAGGCCAACAGGCACAGAAAGAGAGAGAAAAAACGAGAGGCGAAAACAGAGAAAAAGGGAAAAAAATAAAGGGAAATAGTAAGAAAAGAGAAAACAAATTGGAAAACAGCGAGGACAAAAAGGGTCCAGGCCGAAAATAACAAGAAACAAGGGACAGAAAAAGGCACACGGTGGAAACGGCACACGGTGGAGAGACCACTAACGAACAAACACGCAAACATGGCCACCAACCAGCGATGATACAATATAATGGTACGTCATCACTAGTGGGGGGTTGGTGCAATGGTGCAGCGTTGGGCGGGGGGAATTGGCCAATAGAAACTCAACCCGGCACGTGTCGCGCCACTCGGTCTTATCTCTTTTCTCGTTTGCTTTCTTCCCTTCCCGTCTCGTCCGTCTTCTGCCCGCCTTCCGCCCCATGGGTTGTTGGCTTGTGGTTTCGTTTGAGCGTCCGTTGTCGACTAGCCTCTTCTTCCTTCTCGTGCCAGGAGGTCATGAACCTCTCAGCTCCCTGCAGCACCGCCGCATGCCAGGGTACTCCCCCCTCCACCTTCGCGGCTTCCGTCCACTTTAACTGCGGTGCCGTGTCGTTCGGTACCGGGATTGCGAGACAACATGGATCGGTTTTCGTAGATCCGTGGTCGGCCCCGAATGCCTTCAGGTCGTCGAGCACACACTTCGGTCAGTTCTGTTCCTGTCGCCCTNTTGTGGTTTCGTTTGAGCGTCCGTTGTCGACTAGCCTCTTCTTCCTTCTCGTGCCAGGAGGTCATGAACCTCTCAGCTCCCTGCAGCACCGCCGCATGCCAGGGTACTCCCCCCTCCACCTTCGCGGCTTCCGTCCACTTTAACTGCGGTGCCGTGTCGTTCGGTACCGGGATTGCGAGACAACATGGATCGGTTTTCGTAGATCCGTGGTCGGCCCCGAATGCCTTCAGGTCGTCGAGCACACACTTCGGTCAGTTCTGTTCCTGTCGCCCTCTACGTCGCTTCTCCCCCCCCGCCAGTTCGCCGAGCATCAGTCGTTTCGGGAGTCGCCCGTCCGGCTGCCTTGCCAGTGCTCCCGCGATGCATACAAACATTTGAAATCCCATTCCCCGTTCGTGTGTCCCTGTAGTTGCTGTCCGTGTGGTCGCTATGCATGTGTACATACTGCTGTAGTACGGCTATGGTCATCGCTACGCACGCTGCTTCCTGTAGTGGAGACAGAGAGCCACATTATTGCTTTCTCCTGTAGTGCGCGACCCTATTACATCACGCTCAGAATCTTCCCCGTGAATATGATACCGTCAGTTTCGGCTTGCGTTTTTGGCTGCAGGACAGCTCTGCAACATGTAGTCTACTCTTCTGTAGACCTTCACAGCAAAATATACATTGGAACACATGCAGCCTTCAGGCAGGAACCGCAGGAGGGGGTCCAACCACCCTCTTCTATGTGACCCCGGTTGGGTCGTCTAGGTGGTAGAAGTGGAGGATAGGGGCCAGAGGGGCAGAGGACGGAGTCCAATGATGGGAGACCAAAAAAAAAAAAGGGCCGGACGGGTACCTGAATGCACACCACCTAGGCCCGCTCGGCCAAAGTTTTGTTGATCCATCCGCAGGGCGCTCGCACCTGCTGAGCTCTACTCTCTTCTTCGCGTATCTCGGTAGGCGTGGCTTGGGGCATGTGTGCGTGTTGTCGGTCGTCGATGTCTCAAGGGGGGGGGGGCGCGGCGGCAGCCCCCAACAACAGAGCACGCGAGCAATGAGCTGGAATATTTCCGGGGGGTCCTTTCGTTCCAACATTTCCATCAGGCATTCCATCTTGGTTATACACAGCAAGTTGTGCCGCGTAGGAACACTGACCATAGTTTTTTTTGTTGCGCCGCCTCTGGTCTGGTCGCATATCCGTTGTGTGTCATGGTCTTTTTTGTGCCTGTTTGTTTTTGGGGTGCTGTGTCGAAAACGCCTATCAACGCCTGTCATCACGCGCTCACGCCCCCCCTCGCGCCCACGGAGCGCGCCTTGCCTGTACTTACCCCCACGGGCGTCCTCCAGATGAAGCCGAACAACGACGGGGAGCCCCGCAAGAGGAGTAGGTTGACCAGGCAGGCGTGCGATTCGTGCGCGAAAAAGAAGCGACAGTGTACAGGTAAGCGGGCTAAGAGCTCGCTCTCTCTCTGTCTCTTCCTCGCTCTTCGCATTTTGCTGCGTAGCGAGTTGTGATAGGAGAAATCACGTGGGTGAGAGAGGAGCCTAGGCTACAAAGCGAACGGAGAAGACGTTTGTGTGTACTGGCAGGGTTACTCGCCCGTGGTTTGCCTGCTGAACTGCTCGCTATCGGTTCGAGAGAGTCGAAATGAAGTTGCCGTGGTCATATTTGTTGGTCATCTCAACGACACACATGACCAGTACATGAAACAACCAATCACGCGTCACCCGACAGATTGATTTGCTTCAAGACGCCCCTGTCTTGTGCTCTCTTCTCCGGCCGCGCTGGGTATACGCGGTCTGCACGATTACTTCTCCAGGGGGTACACCGTGCCAGCGTTGTAAACGGACGGGAATTGAGTGCATCTACTCTGTCAAAGCCATCTCGCGGAAACGACCTGGACACGGCGGTGAGGGTGGCAAGAAGGTTTCGTCGAGAACAAATTCGGCGCCGCCGGCGTCGCCATCGCCAGCATCGTCGACCACGACTTTTGCTTCGGCAACGGCGTTGCCTGCGCCGGCGACCCAAGTCTCGTGTGGAACGGGACTGGGTGGGTTGGACGAGAGTCGCTACCTGTCCATCTTCTTGGTGGAGTGTTGCCCAATGTAAGGAGTCAGTTTCAGCTGTTATGCTGTATGCATACCATCTTTCTGTCTCGGCGCTACGCCAGTAAAACCAAACATCTATTGTTGCAGTTGCGCTGCAACCAAATACAAGATGACAACGAAAATGGTAATATATCAGGACGGTCGGTGTCGTCCTTGACACAGGGAGCCAAGTCCGCCCCAACCCGCACTGTAGGTTTTCCCAAGAGTATCTTTCCACAGGTGGTGTTGACCCACGACGCATCATCAAAGGGTGTAGGTTCGTTCGCCAACGACGTTGTTGGTGGCGGTGACAAGAAAATACTTCAAGTGGATCACTTCATCCCACATGATCCTGAATTTTCTATTTTTGACATTCACCCGCACACTGCTGTTGTTGTTGTCGGCATTTTTTTTTTGTTTACACTTGTATTGGAGGAAAAACCTCGTCGTCTTGATTGACTTTTCGCGAAAACAATTGTTTTGTATGCCTCTGTGGAGCGCAAGTTAGTCTGCCTAAGTTTTCACTTGAGATGGGTTGTGAATTGCATGCTATCTATGCATACGTTGTTGGTGGTTGGTGGCGTTCGACGCACTGCTGTCCAATTATGAAATCGCATTATCGCCGACTCGGAAGCGCATCCCGCTGAGGTGCCTTATTTTCAGGATGTGGTCGCGTTTCCTAGCGTACACCAGATGGTGACCGAAGTAAATGTTGTCTCTAAATCGCCGGGGTGGGGGTGGGGGGGCGGGTAGGTGGGGCGCCCTTGCAGCGATTGGAGGCGTGTGATTCATCCAGAGATCCACCGAGTCGTCGATGGTTGATCCACGGAGCTGGATGGCCAAGAACTACCAACGCTTGCACAACTGATTGTTTTTTTCAGTTTTCCTTCCCGCCCCCGCCGGTAGTTTGTGTGCGTGGCATTTTAAAGTTGGAGCAGCAACGGAAATGGTTTCTCTACTTGGCATGCTCCGCGTCTACACTCTGGCGTTGATGGATGAAGCTCAGCCTTTGCCCAGAGCAGAGGAAATAAAGTTTCATGGGTCCTGTGGGCATCCATTCTTTGGTGTGTTCAGCGTTCGAGTTCAGCGTTGAGTTCAGCGCTCGAGCCGCAATCGCCCGATTGGATAGAGATGGATTCGTTGGGTCTTCCGGCGTTGTAGTGTGTTGCCTTGTTTTTGCTGGGCCATCTTGCCCCTTCGCTCCCTCCGCCCCTCCCCGACCACTGCAGTGTTGTATGCAAACATTGCTACGCGGCTGCCAACTCTGTTGATGATGGTGACCACGCCTGCTCGTGACCCAACTTGCAATCGCACACACGGACAGGGTGCTATGCCCACATACCGTTCCCGAAGAATACCATTATATTTAGTACCGTAAGGTTGCGAGTCAGCGCACAGGGGTGGGTGCGAACGATTTTCAAAGCGTAATTTCTCCCCAAGCAGGAGGGTGCGAGCGCCAACATATACTTGTCAGGAAAGCTCTCGATGAGATATTTCCAAAACCGCCCTTTTCGACAGTGGTAACCTCCTGGTTGTGGAGAAATTACGCTTTGATAATCGATCGCACCCCTGTGCGGTGACTCGCAACCTTACGGGTATGCCTCTTGTCGGGAATAATTTCTTGACGGAGTTTTATTTCATCACGAGGAGAGGAATCGTCGAGGGGATGTCTCAAGATGATTGGGACCTACTAACAACGGGGAATTTATGTTAATGTGTTGATGATTCCATTTGCCGAAGAACGGATGCTTCTGATTCATATGCTATGCGTCCGACTTTACCCTCCTTGCCGTAAACAATCATAATCGTTTTGGCGATGACTCGACAACGACGTCTAACGCACAAAGTGCATCGAAAACAAAACAAAATTGATCACACGCCACAACAGGTACCCTTGCGCAGACGACGCGTCAATTCGCGACGGCCTCATGCACGAGTTCGTGGGTCTCGCCAACCGCGACTCGCAGGAGGCTCTCCAGGGAGCGGAGGCGATGAGAGGGCAGGCGCTGTCCTGCTCCCTCTTCTCGTGCGTCGCTCTGGGCGGCCTGATCAGCGGGTGCCCCCCCGCCGCTGTCGCGCCGCACATGACCACCGCGCGAGCCTGCGTCGCCAAGTTCGGCGGCCTCTCGGACCGCTACGCGGTGTCGGCGCTCATCCTGTACGCCATGGCGAGCGAGTACGTCGGAGGGCAGGGCCCTGGGACGGAGTACGCCAAGGGGATGGAGGCCGCCAGGGCGATCTTTGAGGGCCTCCCCGCCAAGGACAAGGACCCGGTGCTGTCGGCGGTGCTGGCGCACTTCATGGTCCTCGAGGGCTTGCCGCTGTTGCGGCTCGTAGAGACGAACGCTCCGACGACTAACCCCGCCAATAGGTGCAACAGCGGCGGCGGCGTAGGGGGGATGGGGGGCGCCCCGGTCGGCTGGAGCACGGGCGGCAGCAACCGAGCTCCTTCGGGCAGTGGAGGTGTTCATCATGGCGGCGGCGGCGGCGGCGGCGGCGTTGGCAGGGAGCGAAACTCCGGAACGTCGTACGTTTGCTGCAACACCGCTCACGAGGAGGCGACCTTCCAGAGGGCGCTGGCGATAAGGGCGGACGTGAGCATGGTCTCGTCCCAGAACCCTCCCCCCGTGTACGTCGTGGCAGACGGTAAGCGAGGCCCAGCGCTGGTGGTGGATCCAGAAAGATTTGCTGTGCCGACGACGACCCGGTCGTGTCCGGTGTCGTCTTGTTAAACACGCATGCGTTCTTCCGTTTTGCATTTGGTATGCATAGCCTCGTTCTGTCTATGTCGTTCCTTCCAGATGTTTTTGTTGGAAGATTTTTTGAGACTTTTTTTTCGGTCAAATCCAATGTTACGGTTCGGGTTGTTCATTGTTCCGCAAGTACACCCCCACAGAGGTAGTTGGCCACATTCGTCGGAGCCTCTGCAAGAGCTGTCTGTACTCGCCCTCCTCTGCTCACAACCAAGCCACCATCCGGAGCTTACCCTAAAAGAAAAAGACCATAAGATGCATAAGGAGGCCTTTGCTCCGACACTATGCCTGCCACTACAGCGGGTACGAGTATCTTCACTACTCATCGCACTCGGTACAGTCGTTCTAGAGCACAAAGAGAGGTCAGTGTGTGTGCATCGCTGCATGAGAGGGCTAGAATACTCTCAGGATCAGTTATTCCCTTTCTCGCACCAGAAGCAGTGCCATGATCGGGAGCTATCTGATACTTGCTGATTCCGCATTAGACCTACACCGCTACGTGCTAACGACTCGTTTCACCAAAGCAGGCTCTTGGATTGAAAGTCGTCGAACGCGGCTGTTGCTACGTAAGTAGGTACAGGTTGTGCCCCCTAGTAACACGGCGTCTATCCTTGGGAGCCGGGAGTTGACTGTTGGAGACGAACTTGTCGGAAGAATAAAATGTGTCTTGCCGTCATTTGTGAAATGAAGTTCATAGAGGTTATTTTCCTGCAGTTTTTGTGGGGGAAAACGACACAACAGGGTAAGCCCTGGTCGAAAAGCGACACACCTGGGTACACAGGCCGGTTGCCGGTCGCCCCGGTGGTCTAGTAGGTAGCCTCGCAGCCTGCTAAGGGCCAGGTCATGGGTTCGAGTCCCGGCAGAGAGAGTTTTTTCTCACTAAATAAATCCTGGTCTAGGATGAAAGCAACGCGCTGCAAAGCTCGTTTGTTAGTAAACCATAATCGACTTCGTAAGTCGCGAGGGAAGGGATTGCTGTACCCTTCTCGCGATAAAAATACCTCAGGCATGAACCGCAGGAGGGGGTCCAACCCCCCCCTCCTATGTGACCCCGGTTGGGTCGTCTAGCCAGTAGAAGTGGAGGATAAGGGCCAGAGGGGCAGACGGCAGAGTCCAATGATTGGAGAGAAACAAAACAACAACAAAAAAAAAACAGTCATTGACAGCAGTAAATGGACTCATATCATTGTTGTTGTTGTTGTTGTTGTTGTTGTTGTTGTTGTTGTTGTTGTTGTTTTCTTCACATTAAAAACCGTTCCGATCTCTCTCTACGCAGTACCTTCGCATGTCCGTACTGATACAACACTCGACGCGGCCGATTCCCGTGGTCGCAGGCTAACTTACCCTAAAAAGGTACACTCAAATAAAATGGCCCCGAGGGGTCCGCAAGTCAATAGAAATTAACGACAGATATTCTGGAGTCCTCCACTCCCTATCATTGGTCAGCGCCCAATTTCACCCCGGTGCATCCGAAAAAGCACAGGGTACAACCTGCCGTGACTACTTTTCTCAACAACTGTACCGTGTTTTCGGAAATGTACCCTGACCTGTCGGGAAAGGAGACCCTTTCATCAATCATTTCCCCCGCAGGAATCTTCCCAACTCCTTTTGCCCTCCAACCATGAAATACCAAACGGCGAATCTTCCCGCCCAATAAACACCATGGCAACGGGGCAGGAATCAGTTTCCGCCCCTGCGAAACAGCACCAACCATCAACTCTTCCCCTCTAGACTAAGTCAACAATGGCCGGGCAACACCCCAGCACAATTGTTCCGTTTGGAAACATGCACACGCACGTACGATACCCCGTGGACGACTGACTGCTTGTTGCAGTCTATATTTGAGACGCACGGGTCACGCTGTTAAAGCGAGACCGATCCAGCATGGTTGACATGATGATGCATGTGTGCGTGCGTGTGTTGTCTGTTATGTGTCTCATTTGCGATGTGCCGTGTGTGCCTGCGTGCGTTGTCTGTTGTGTCTCAATCGCGATGTGTTTCTTGCTTGAACTACTGCTGTAGCAGCAGCGGCCACGCCCACCAGCCAATTAAGCCGGCCAATCAATTCATGTAGTAAGAAGACGTCAGGCTTCAGCTGGATGATGAGCCGATTAAATACAACGCGAACACTCGTTCCTCTCTCTACCGACAGGGAGGGTAATTGAGATGCACGACACAGCAGTGTCCTGCTGCTAGAGTAAGGATGAGACTCGTATGTGCGTGATTGATGTCAAGGGCGTGTCTGTGTGTGCTGGTCCTGCCTCTCCCCTCCACCCTCTGTGCGGGCGCGAGCTCGCCGCGGATCGGTCTCGCTTTAACAGCGTGACCCGTGCATCTCGCATATAGACTGCAATAAGCAGTCGTCCACGGGGTACCTTAGGCGTGTGTGCATGTTTCTAAACGGAACAATTGTGCTGTGGTGTTGCCCGGCCATTGTTGACTTAGTCTAGAGCGGAAGAGTTGATGGTTGGTGCTGTTTCGCAGGGGCGGAAACTGATTCCTGCCCCGTTGCCATGGTGTTTATTGGGCGGGAAGATTCGCCGTTTGGTATTTCATGGTTGGAGGGCAAAAGGAGTTGGGAAGATTCCTGCGGGGGAAATGATTGATGAAAGGGTCTCCTTTCCCGACAGGTCAGGGTACATTTCCGAAAACACGGTACAGTTGTTGAGAAAAGTAGTCACGGCAGGGTATACCCTGTGCTTTTTCGGACTCACCGGGGTGAGATTGGGCGCTGACCAATGATGTGAGTGCATTTACTGCTGTTAATGGCTGTGTACCCAGGCGTGTCGCTTTTCGACCAGGGTATAACCTGTTGTGTCGTTTCCCCTTGTTGTGGCCGTTCCTGTCTCGCATGACCAACGTTCAACATCACATGATATATTCTACCTGGGCGTCATCTTTGGTCCCTAACGTGCAACAACACAGAAATACATGTGCCATATTTGGTTGCTGGAAGGGCGGGCATTCGTTTCGGAAGGAAGCCTTGCTCGCTGTCGTGCTGGTCGAATGCCGTTTTACGAGTTGCATTCTTCTGTCGTGGTGGTACAGCAGTGCCAAAATATACCCGCAGCAGTTGCCACGCAGGCACATCAGGAATTTAGAAAATCACACCCACCGTATGCATATGTGAACAAGGTTGCAACGACCTCTTTGTTGAGGTCCGATTTCCTTGTGGCTCTATCATATGCCTCGTCCCCTCGCCCTACCTGCGGCGGTGAATGCTTCCCGAATGTGGTTTGCCCTAGTGCGACGAGGGGGCTGCCGTCGCCCGTCTCTCCCGCACAGGGATATCGAGGCCTTTCGTCTGTTTCGTCCAGACAGCAACCGCCGTAGACATGTGCGTAGTTGCCGGGAGACCCATCGAGCTCCCTCGTTTTCCTGAATGTTCTCTCCCTCTGCTGACCAACCGTCACGGCCAGTATGACGTGGCCTTACCCAGCCCTGCCCGCAGCACGCGCGTGTTTCAGGCGCGTAGCCGGCTACGCTGGTGGCTGCCTGTCGATCCGTTTCTGTCTGGTTGGGGTTGGGTGTTCATGTCGTTGCTGCCTGAACTTCGCTCAGTGTCACAGTATTTGCCCGACAGCAGGTTTTGCCGGTGCAGCTTGTTGTGGTCCACAAATTCATATCCGGACTTACTGTAACCTGTTGTGCAAAATGTTCTCGTGTAACTCTTCCACATGTCGTTGAGTCAATCCATCACAACGGCCGCAGCCCCCCCTGTCTCTATGTCTCTGCTGACTCCTTCCCCCCCCCCCACCTGCCGGTCTCTTGAAACTACGCCTTTCATGCGAGAACAGCGCAACTGCTGACGATTCGCTTCTCTCGAGACCGGGGGGATGTCGCGACGAGGCTATGGCACTTGCACGACTTCGCCACCTCCGAGCTGAGACGCTTTAGGCAGGAGGGGAAGGGAGCGGTTGCCCTGCTGGCGCTGATCGGCCCTCTGATGGGAGTCCAGATACGACTCGGTCGCCTGGACGGCATCCTCGCCACGGCGGAGCTTGCCTCCTCTTTGATCCGGAAGTGTCCCGGGTTGGTTAGGTGAGAAAGTATGCTAGCAGATGGAGCTTTTTTGACGTGGGGTGACTGACTGTGCGATCGGTACGTGGACCGTCCGCCTAGTGGCTGTCGCATGCAGGCATACAAACTGCTAAACGATTAAGTACATGAAAGCTGCACACGTGGACCGTCTGAGAGGTGCGAGGGCGACACAATCGCCCTGAGCAACAAACCGTTCGCCTATTGTTGACGTTGCCCACAGCGGTACCAACATACTTCATGCACGATGCAATCGTGCCTCCTGTTGCCTGCGATGTGAAACGAAAACAGGACCATCTTTATGGATCCCGTCGCACCTTTCGCCGCTACCCGCAGACACGTTTTTTTTTTTATCGTACGTTTTTGTTTGTTGAGTCCAGTACCTCATTGGGTTGGGTCGGATTTTGAAGCCTACTAAAGACCGGCCTCGACGCTGTTTGTCACATCTCAAAAACGAAATTGATCTCGTGAAGATTCATGATCGTTTGACCGGTAGTTTTACATTTGGCCAACGCATGCTATGCACAGAGTAAGGCTGTGCGTGGACTGTCATGCACATAAACAAGGGCGGGTAATGGTCTACGTGTTGATCGACCCATTAGTACAATGAGGGTTTGTTTCTAACCTGCAATAATCCCAACAAATAAACGAAAGCATAGGTGTTTTCGTGGTTAGTACCAGCTGACAGGCGTTGGAAGTCCACATAAATCACACACCATGCGTGTATCAGTCGCTTTGTGTGTAAGGGGGTGTGGAAATCGATACGGCTGGAAGAAGACTCACCGGTAATGCAAAGACACAGGATCAATTTGCTCTCTAGCAACACAAGGGTTTTGGAAGACATCGACCTCTCTACTGTAATTATATCCACCTGGTGCGTTCCAATCGGCATTTCTCTAGCAAGAATACAACCCCTGAAAGACTACCCGTTCGAGATATTACCACAGCAGTCGCAATGAGGTGTTGAAACTGTTGCAGTGAGTGGGGAACAAAGCCTGCTGACACCGGGTCGGGCATATTTTGATTCCGGGTTAAGTCTAGGCATACATACCAAGGCCGAAGCGGGTAGGTCATCCACGTCAGGCTTGCCGGTGAGGGTGAGGCTGAAGCTCGTGTTCGCGTCAAGGACGTTGTTGCAGCACTTGGTGGATTCTGTCTTTTCACACTCTGGCAGCGTCGCGGTGAGATGTCTGATTTGCATGGCAAACAGAACCGGGTCCGACTCCGATCCCACCTACAAATCGTTGCAGGACCATCAATACACAAGTTTCAGCCTTGTCTATTGATGGTCCTCACCGCAATTATATCAGACACCTCACCGCGACGTTGCCAGTGCGAAGAGAATCTTTCCTTGCCAGACTTTCGGGAGAGACGACCCTTTGTGGAGTCATCCCCCCCCCCCCCCTGCTAGAGTACGCCGGAGAAGTATGGGAAGGAAATAAGAAGGTAGTGAAGGAAATCGAGGCGGCGCAGATGAAAGCAGCGAAAACCATCCTAGGATGCTCCAGGCGCACAAGTAATGCAGCCGTGAGGGCACAATTGGGGGTCCAATTCTTACGGTCGGGAAGAGAGGCGAGGAAGCTNACGGTCGGGAAGAGACGCGAGGAAGCTGACCTGGCAGTATCGCATGTGCGGGATGGGAGAGGAGAGGTTGCCGAGAATTGTATGGGAGGCGAAGTGGGCAAACAAAAAGAGGGGTAGACAACCCACGGAATGGGTCAAGGTTGTAGAGGACGTATGGAAGGGGCTCGACATCGACGAAGATGAAACGCTGGAAACGGAGGGTCTACAGGGTTCAAGGAGAAGATATCAGTTGCTTATGCCGAGAGAGAAGGTCAGAATCTAAGGAATGAATCCAAGGATAAGGAGGGTCTAGAAGTGTACGTTATGTTGAAGGAATGAATAGGGTTCTTCAAGGATTACCTACATGGACCAATGGACGCAGGAACAAAGCTTAAGGTCAAATCCAGGACCGGGGACATGGCCTTCGAGAACGTCGACGAAGACATAGGACGGTAGACGAGGAAGGCGACGAGTTCAAACGTGATTGCGGCTTCGAATGCGAAGACGGGGTTCATGTAGTCGCGGCATGTCCGTTGCACAAGAAGGAGAGGGAGGTGTACATGAATGAGCTGGGAAAAATAGATAGGACGTACAGGAAGATGTTTGAGGCATGGAATAGAGAGGAAAGGACGGTAGCTGTACTGGGGCATAGGAGGTGGGTTGAAAAGGCGGGAAGGGATGTCGTTAGGATAGACAGACTAGGGAAGACATTTTTGAGCCACCTTTGGCAAAGTAGAAAGGAACGATTGGCCATCGGTGATCGGTCCTGTGGGAACACTGCCCCGTCCTGAGGACGCGTGGTCAATGGTCTTACCGCTTAGGCATGCAAAACATAAGAGTACGCCCCCCCCCTCCCCCAAACCTGGTTGAAACCCGTTTAGTACATACGATTTGTTTCTCCAAACCTCGAGGGCGGTCGGATACAACAATCAATACGAACATACACACAAAAGAATCAGACCTTAGCCGGGGATGGTTTATCATCCCCCCCCTCCCCCCCCC